GGTTTAGGTATCGTTTTTTTTTCCTTTTTTTTTTGGGTTTTTTTTTTTTTTTTGCAGGGATTTGTTGCATTTCACAAACCATTTACTTTAGAATAACACATTTCACTGGTATAAAATTTTTTAAAACTAACAACTAACATTTGGCTATAAATATATAGTTACTGCATTGTAGCTTTTAGGGCGACACAAATATCCTAACTGGTCAATTAATCATATATATATATATTTTTTTTTTTTTCAGAAGAAAATAAACTTTACTAAAAAACTACACACCTCTTTAATTATATGTAATAGCGTGCGTTTGAACTGGGTTTGGTCTTCAGAGTCTTGATGTGCCCCCTGTGTCTCACTCTGACACTGAGCCAGGCCCAGGAGTTCACGCCTGAGCTGTTGAAACTGAAGGACTCTGTAGAGGACACATACACAAATAAACATAAAGCGTGGTGACAATAAAATGACATTTATCCATTCAACCAAGAACATCCGCAGAAACCTGTGAAGCTGTAAATGGAATGGAAACCCTGGTACCTTTGTCCCACTGTCATGAAGATTCTCCTTAAAACATTGGACTTGTTGCTATAGTCAAACCAAAGCAAGGGCCATGTGTTCCCCCAGTGTTCATGGCTAAATGCAGGTTATCTGACAAGTATGCGCTCTCACACTTTCTTCACATTTACTCGAGTATGTTCAGCAAAAGTAAAGGCAAAATACTACATTTTGAATACATCACTGAAAATGAAATCCTGTCTGAATATTCATTCATTCATTTTCTAAAAACGTGAATCGGGCGAAGGCGGGGCACACCCTGGTCAGGTCGCCAATCCATTGCAACCTGGCTGAATATAACCACTGATTTGAGCACTCTGTGCTAAAATATACATATTTAAGAAGGTTTTAACATCTTCATGCATTCACATAATGACTTTTACATGTGGAAATCTGGAATTTGATATATTTATCTTGATATTGATATGCAGAATGTGTGTTATGTCCCAAATTCACTGCAGCAATTGGAACAAGATACAAAAATAAAATAAAATTTCTCAAAATTCAATGTATTAATCTTGTTATTTCAGATACAAAGGATTTGATAGGCTCCAAGGAATTTTATAAAGTGATTATCAGTAAAGATTCTCAGTCATTCAGGTTGTAAGACAAAGAAGTACTAAATTAAAAGCTTGCTGTCTTGAAAACTAAAATAGAAAATCTAGTTGTCTTTGATTTCTGGATGCTGAGAAAGTGACATTATTATATTGTGTGGATGACATAAAGATTTCAACAAGTGTAGAACAAAAATGACTTACTAAAAATAAAAAACGTGACTGATCTCACTAATATTCTCGCAGCATTTTTATCTTGTGCCTGATAAAGGACTAGCCACTGTTGAGTAGTTTATATCAATACAGTCATCATATTTTTTAAGTTAATTATATCCATAACTAGTAAAAAGTGCCAAGTGCAAGTAGATCAAAGTATTTGAGTACATGCACTGGTCAATCAGCTGACACCCACTGGACCAACTTGGTATAACAGTTAATTGTGATGTGAACAGGTTGTTTTCTTCTTCTTCTACTACTAGCACTACTAATCAGAATAAGAATAAGAAAAGGAAGAGTCTGACTGCTGTGATTTGAACTGTGCTAGCCTATATGACCTACCCTCTCCTGTCTGATATGTGTGGATGTGGGTTAACACTCACTGTCAGTAATGAGGGAGTGCACGGCGGTGATGTGTCTCCGTCCCAGGCCATGACTCCTGGATAGCACGCAGTCCACGTAGATGTCCCAGAAGACCCCGGCCAGGTCCCAGAACAGCGCCGTGTGCCTGCTGTTGTCCGACGACCTTAGGAACACCATGAGGTCCCAGAAGGCGGGCACCGTGTCAGCGATCCTCGGGGAGCGCATCTCCAGCAGCAGCGCGGAGGAGGAGTCCCAGCACTGCGGGTTCGCCCGGTGGGCCGCCAGGGGATCCACCTGACCCGGCTTCTGGCCCTGCAGCAACACTGCACACATGCAGCTCAGCACAAACACTGTGGCCAGATTTGTGTTCGAGAGCACCGGGGCCATCTGAAGAGAACGCAACACCGCTCCGATGTTTCTATCAATTTATCAGTAATTTAATGACAATAATGTTCAGCCCTCATCATTGATAATGTCAGTAGCCCAGAAAACACTACAAATCACATCTTGTTGCATGTCCGAAGGTTACATCTACTGACATACAGCCTAACACTGATCTGTTTCTTTGGCTGTAATTTATGAAGTATTGTCTAATACACTCAAGGGTGTTAACAATAATAATCTGTCCTGCAAATCCAAACATGCTGATTAGCCTTGCAGTTAAACACCCAATGCGTAAATATATTCTAAAAACTGCAGAATAATATCAGAAAGTAGTTACACTATTATAATATTAAATCATACACTTACCACTAAAGCTGGCCCGTCTTCCAAGACTATTGTGTTGATTGGAGTTTGAAACATATCACTTGTCTTAACTGACGTCAGTGCCTCCCTCCTTTGTAGCAGAGTTGTCATGTTTATTATATGTGTGTGTGTGCCACTTTAATATGCCTAATGCAATCTTATTGGCAGCAAAGCTTTAACGTTACAAAAAATGTAACAATATTGCTTGATTGTGCAAAAATCTGTTGGTGTGCATCATCCCTGAGAGGAGAAATTGTCAAATTACTAAACAAAAAGACTATTGTTGTTTAGTAAAGCTGATTTATAAGGGTTATTCTTCACAAAGATCAAACTGATCACCAGGAGAAAATACTTAGTGACTCTTCTAACGCCCGCATTGAAGTATCTCTACTAAGAGCTGCTCTCAAACTATGTTAAAAGAAGAATATTTCTTATGAGGAAGATGCTGCCCAAGTCCTGCCCAATGTATACAACAGGGACAAACTCTGACCATACAATTGATTTGCTTGATTGACAGGTAGAGCTGGAACTAACAATTTAGAATTAATTTCATTATTGATGCCGTGGTGCTTTTTTCTTCTTATATGTAGTATTTTCTGTTCAGTATGTCAGAAAATGATAAAAAACTGCATATCACAATTCTCCAGAGCCCAAGCTGATGTTTCATGCCATAATGTAGACTGGGAAAGCATAGAATGGTTGCTGTAATTATTCTTCCTGTGACTGAAAACATCTATTACTGGGTTTCTTGAGATGGAGGACAAAATCCACAATTTTCCAAAGTTCAGCTGAAGCTGATACAATATTAGGCTTTTGCAGTAGCTGAGTTTTGAGTCCTGTGCAGAAAACCAAGTTGTCTGTGGCTCAGATAAAGAAAATGTCATCTCTATGACCACGTCCTCCACTGACATCTGTTTTTTAACGTATTACAGAATCGTAATTCAGAGTTAATGGAGTGTTGTGCGTATGCAGGGTTTCAGTATAAGATAAAAAGCCAGCAGGAACATATGCAGTCTGCTGCCAGAAACTTGGGCGGTTCTCCTTTCTACCAAAACAAGCTCAGTGATGAATGGTGTTTCATAAAGTGATGCATGGACTACTTTTTCTATGCTTTTACTGAAATGTCACAATGCATACCTGATGACAAATGTAATTACTTTCACAGTGGGGGCAATACTAAATGTACTGGGTGGGTTTCTTACTCAGCCATTCATTCTTCTGATGATGCAAAGCCTTTATGACCATTTCCGCTACAAGGACTTTTAAATGAATCCCATTTTCACATTCATATTGAAAGATAAAATGTAATGATAGGATGTTTCTAGGCAGGAAGAATGGTGGTAAGGTACAAGGAATCATTGTTTTTTTAATGGATGCTATGAGGAAAAACTATTTCTAAGCTTGGTCCACAAAGATTTTATCTCTGCATGCTGATCAGCCTGGCTGTACAGTCCAATGATTCACAAATCAAGGTCTATAGGCTCGTCTCCACAGTTGCCAGGTGTACATGGAAATGTGCAGTAGCTCAGTTAATCTGACAAATAAAGTATAAATAATTTGCTTAAAAATACATACATGTACATTTTGAGCCAGCTGTAAAATTTGAACATTTTGTGTTGCAATTCAATGTGTCAAAACTATTATCATGTGAGCTCAGATGTTCAGGCTGTTAGCTACAGAGCTGGGTGATATTCTCTGAGATCACCTTCACATAATACAGTGCCTTGCGAAAGTATTCGGCCCCCTTGAACTTTGCGACCTTTTGCCACATTTCAGGCTTCAAACATAAAGATATAAAACTGTAATTTTTTGTGAAGAATCAACAACAAGTGGGACACAATCATGAAGTAGAACGAAATTTATTGGATATTTCAAACGTTTTTAACAAATAAAAAACTGAAAAATTGGCCGTGCAAAATTATTCAGCCCCCTTAAGTTAATACTTTGTAGCGCCACCTTTTGCTGCGATTACAGCTGTAAGTCACTTGGGGTATGTCTCTATCAGTTTTGCACATCAAGAGACTGAAATTTTTGCCCATTCCGCCTTGCAAAACAGCTCGAGCTCAGTGAGGTTGGATAGAGAGCGTTTGTGAACAGCAGTTTTCAGTTCTTCCCACAGATTCTCGATTGGATTCAGGTCTGGACTTTGACTTGGCCATTCTAACACCTGGATATGTTTATTTGTGAACCATTCCAATGTAGATTTTGCTTTATGTTTTGGATCATTGTCTTGTTGGAAGACAAATCTCCGTCCCAGTCTCAGGTCTTTTGCAGACACCATCAGGTTTCCTTCCAGAATGGTCCTGTATTTGGCTCCATCCATCTTCCCATCAATTTTAACCATCTTCCCTGTCCCTGCTGAAGAAAAGCAGGCCCAAACCAGGATGCTGCCACCACCATGTTTGACAGTGGGGATGGTGTGTTCAGGGTGATGAGCTGTGTTGCTTTTACGCCAAACATAACATTTTGCATTGTTGCCAAAAAGTTCGATTTTGGTTTCATCTGACCAGAGCACCTTCTTCCACATGTTTGGTGTGTCTCCCAGGTGGCTTGTGGCAAACTTTAAACGACACTTTTTATGGATATCTTTAAGAAATGGCTTTCTTCTTGCCACTCTTCCATAAAGGCCAGATTTGTGCAGTATACGACTGATTGTTGTCCTATGGACAGAGTCTCCCACCTCAGCTGTAGATCTCTGCAGTTCATCCAGAGTGATCATGGGCCTCTTGGCTGCATCTCTGATCAGTCTTCTCCTTGTATGAGCTGAAAGTTTAGAGGGACGGCCAGGTCTTGGTAGATTTGCAGTGGTCTGATACTCCTTCCATTTCAATATTATCGCTTGCACAGTGCTCCTTGGGATGTTTAAAGCTTGGGAAATCTTTTTGTATCCAAATCCGGCTTTAAACTTCTCCACAACAGTATCTCGGACCTGCCTGGTGTGTTCCTTGTTCTTCATGATGCTCTCTGCGCTTTAAACAGACCTCTGAGACTATCACAGTGCAGGTGCATTTATACGGAGACTTGATTACACACAGGTGGATTCTATTTATCATCATTAGTCATTTAGGTCAACATTGGATCATTCAGAGATCCTCACTGAACTTCTGGAGAGAGTTTGCTGCACTGAAAGTAAAGGGGCTGAATAATTTTGCACGCCCAATTTTTCAGTTTTTTATTTGTTAAAAAAGTTTGAAATATCCAATAAATTTCGTTCCACTTCATGATTGTGTCCCACTTGTTGTTGATTCTTCACAAAAAATTACAGTTTTATATCTTTATGTTTGAAGCCTGAAATGTGGCAAAAGGTTGCAAAGTTCAAGGGGGCCGAATACTTTCGCAAGGCACTGTATTTCTTTAAGAAAATCGCTCTCTAGTTTCAGCTTCTCATATGTTACTATTTGTTAGTTTACTTAGAAGACTGTCATGATAAACCTCTATGAAGACAGGTGTGTCACCACCAGCCATCCATTGCACAATACAATTTCAAAGTAACTGAAAAATTGATATGCGTTGTGGCCTTATTAGTTACAAAATATGATTAGATTAATTTTTTAAATTAATGATTTGTTGTTAGACAAACAAGCTGCTTGACAGACAAATGAGTTGGTATTGTGAAATGCAGAAGAATGTGCAATACAGGGTCAGACCTTTACACCATAAAAACATATTGGTAATGTTCTTAATGTATGTTGAAATGAATGTTTTCATAAAGAGTAATATCTCTACATTTTTACCTTTACTAGTAGTTGCTGTAGTAGCAGCAGGCAGTGGAATAGAAGCCTAAGCAATAAACATTCAAGGAAAAAGTTGATTTGAGTTATGAGGGTCCTGTGCCCCAGTAGAGGTTTATGTCTAGCAACGCCCCTGTGTCAGATTATTTCTTGGCCAGGCACAATAACTTTTTGCAGTTGAGCTAAGTGATACTCCAGTAGATAAAATCCAAAAAAGACAGACGCTCAGCTAAAATTTGTCAGTAATTTATTCATTGGTTCAACTGTACATGATGCAGTGAGAGAGACACCAGACGATGAGTAATATGGAGGATTACAACAATGCCAGTGCTATGGCAGCACCTGGAACACACCAACTATCAGCTGGACTGGAAATAATAGCCCTGCACAAGGAAACTGTTCCGGCCTCAATATGTACAGGCACCATACAGTCTGTGTATGTGTGTGTGTGTATGTGTGTGTGTGTGTGTGTGTGTGCGTACATATGTGTGAATAAAAATATCAGATTGGATGAAAAACACACAAAAATGATTTTCAGTTCCACAAATGTAAAAGAGTCCTCTCACGTTTCACTGGAAATATTCATTCAGTTCTTCTTCTTTTTTATTTATTTGTCCATTCATAGTCGGAGTATGTTGAAGCGAAATGAAGTGAGATGTCGAAGTGGCCAGATATAAAAGATTCGATGATTAGCAGAGGATTCTGTAATTCCATGTCATGGTATCATTATTACCCATTCTATTGTGCAATATCTCTCTTTGCATAGTAAATAAAAGTTAATGTTCATTGTTGTGGACATGCACTTATCTTTTGTAGCATATTTTTCTTGCAGATTTTGGGGACTCCCATATAGAATTGTAAGCCCACTATAGTATAGCATGCAGCGTTACCAGTAGAGCTGAACTTGATTTCTACTTAGAGTTTATGAAAGCAAAAGGCTAAGCCAGAAATAATTGAGGACTGTTCAGTGAGACCTGGCTGGACAGGTGAGTGCCTGCATGGACAGACTACACGCCCTCAGCAGTAGGATAGGCACCACTGGCTGCGGACAGAGGGGGGAAAGTGCTCTGTGTTCAACAACATCCATATATTCAGGTGATTGGTTCTTTGGCTTCTGAGTCACCGCTCTGCTCAAGATATTTTTTTGGGTGGGGGGGGGGGGAGCTGCTCTGTCCACTGAAGAAAATCTTTGACCTTTGTCCCGACAAACACAGCACACTGTGCAGCTTGCGTTACAGTTTTGGCCCAAATCATAATTGCAGTTTTTTTTAAACAACACTGCCAAAAACACCCATTGTGTAACATGCTTTTGAAAAAATAAATAAATAAAAGCAGCTAATGTACTTGTAAAATATGATGTTAAGTCCAAACCTGAACCCTTAATTTATGTACAATTTTGTGTGTGCGCATTCACTATGTGGGTCTGCACTGCCCTTATGGGTTCTCACATTCACTTAAACTTGAACTATAGGAGCTTATGTTGGCTTTCCATTTTGTTTGGTTTTTAGTGAGGCTTTCGCCTCTGTTAGATGATTCCTTTTTATTCTTTTTTTTTTTGTTTGTTTTTTTTTGCTGTATATTCAGAGCTTTCATAGCCATGCAGAGCCCTGTAAAGAGGACTCTTCATGCCAGGAGGCCAGCAAGCAGCACGCTTTGTGCGGATAATCATGCCAGGTGAGAGACTGGTGTGGGTTCCGCCTGAATGCCTGTGCACTGGCACTAAAGGATGGAAGAGGAGCTCAGTCACTCTAAAGATAAGGGTGGGTGGGGGGAGGTCGTTATATGGGTGAGGTGGAGTTGAAAAGGCTGCATTTCTAATGTCACTACAATAGAGTTTGTTAAAATGTCCACTATGTCTTTTTCAAGTAAATCTAATGCCAAAGATCAGCAGCAATAAGTGCAGTCCAGCTGTCAGGTAGGCAACTGAGGAAGCCTTGGAGGAATCCTTCTGTGATAGCCATCTCTCCTTAGGTTAAATGGCTGTGGCGTTGGGGTCATATCGCCGTTTCTTCACATTTCTTATGGAGATACAAGAAATAGGAGTCAGTGTGTGTGATAACATCTGTAACACAGCCAGTGCATCCTGGACAAGCAAGCACACTCATCTCTTCAGTTTACAGTAATACTCATAAGAAAATGCTGCAAATTAAATTAAACTGAAGACTTCCAAGATCAAAATGCTGAAGACAGTGAAGTGAGGGAAGGCTGTCCATATTGCCACTCTGGCCTTGGCTGCAGAGACAAACAGAGGCATTTATATTCACAAACATTTATGTCTCCATTTGTGATAATGTATAGACTGATACCTTTTTTCATAACAAGACCATACTAAAATCCTATATCAACAGATTATTATGTATGAAATAATGAACTAAAGTTATTATATTGTCTTGTTTTCTTCATATCTACAATTTCTGACACTGAGAAGTGGAGAGATGAAAACTTCTGCCCCATTTATAAAGCAAAAGAACCATAAAATCTACTTATACAAAGAGGTTACTGTTGAATCAGTGTGAATATTGAAGGTCTATGAATATAAATATCCTCTGTTGCCTTCTTGCAGACAAGTGCCGATTGATTTGTGCATGCAACATCAGATTACAAGGTGAAGAAGTGTAGAAGATGTATCATTACCAGTTTTGATGGGAAAGACATTAGCTCCACTCAAAACATAATGATCTGGGAGGAAGGAGCTGACATAAAATATACTCTTATAAAGGAGGGAACGAGGAGATGTAACAACCAAAGCAGCTGCAACAAGAACTACTACCACAACCACAACAGTGAGACGACAGTGAGTATGACAACAGGAGTGATGCATAACCTCCCCGTACTGTGGCTTGCTGTGGGGCTTCTATCACTCTGTCATGCACCTGTTCCAATAGTAGGCCAGTTGAAGGTGGCACTATTGCAGTGCGTGGTTCATGCAGTGGAATGCGCCGTGTCTATACCAGGTCTGTGAAGCAGGCAGCAATGGCAGCTGGTGTGGGCGGGTCCAAGAGTCCTGCTCTGCTCTAGGGCGGAGCCTGGCCTTCCAGGGGGGTGTGGCCAGCCATGGCACAAAGGCTGCGACCAACAAAAAAAAAGGTCCTGGCTCTCTCTGTCGCTCTCACCACCCCATTTAAAGTCTCACCCTCGAACGGTAATGGATTGAGAAAGAGATCATGGAAGTGATGAGAGCAGGACAACCCTGGACCAGTTCGTTCAAGGTTTGGCTCAGCCTTTGTGCAATGAACTGACCTCCTCCAAATCAACATGTCAACATGCAGAAATATTGTTTGTTGTTTTTTTGTCTTACTCTTTTTTTTTTTTTGGGTGACAACCATGATGCTTTGCTACCTGGCATGCTTTGGTGGCTGCAGGACTGTATTTCTCATTTACCCCTCAGGCCTATTTTTTGATTAAAATGTGTAACACCCCTGTTGCTCAAGACAGCAGGCTAATCAGCAGTTGATTGGAACTTATTTAACATAATCTATTGTACAATTAAGTACATTTCCGGGCTACACAGAGATATGTTGGAGGCCTATCTTTGTATTTCAGAGAGGGAAGTAATGTTTTACTCTAACTACAAGCATATAGATTTCTTAATCATTTAGCTGTTAAAACTCTTTTCCCCTCTGTTTTGTGACAGTCTGTTAAAAGGTCCTTCACTGAACATGCATGTCAAGCACTGAGCTCTGCCTGTCCAATCCGTTTGAGTTTCTGCTACAGATACATAGACGGCATCTCTCCAAATGCACGCTTTATACATCTACACTTTCAACATCACCTGCATTGTTGTCAACAGAATAACCAGGAGTGCACACTGGATCAAGTTGTGTTCAGCATGTTCGTCTCAGTGGTGACACACTTTTAAGAAAGATTATTCAATGTGTTTTTTGTTTGCATGTTGTACAGCTTTGGGTCTATATTCTGTAGCAGGAGCTCAAACCCTGGTGTCTAGAAGCAGCAGGGATGCTAGAGTTACAGCAGGAGAGGCATGCGGCGTGTTGCTTACTTAAAGCCCCATCCAGTCCCCCCCAGCACTATGGCAGCCACAAGGATGGCTCCGGCGATGGAGCCTATTATTAGATTGGTGGCACTAGGACCTGTAAAGGGTTATGGGGAAAAAGACATGAGTTTCTATTCTCATTTACTGTATCAATAACATTTAACTATACAATGATGGTTTCACATGGAACAGAAAACATAATCATAAGTATTCTATTGCAGTAAAATGACTGAATCTGAGAATGTGTTTTGCATGGTCTTCAGCCCCCTTCACTGTGTAAAGGTAAGAAAGAAGAGGCCCTTGGAATATTTGCATTTATCTGGTGTCAGCTGAAGTAATGATGACCATTGGTCTGTTTGTTAAGGTTGTGCACAGGACCTTGGGTATCCATCGCTATAAATATTTAATTAAACAGTGATTGACAGGTGATATGTATTAGTGGCCTGCAGTATGAGCAGTAGAAAATGTTTTTAGGGGTCCCATTCACCACACAGCCTTCCACTGACTGACAAGCCATGTCACTCTCCAGACACTTCTCAGGACTATTTTCCATCTAAATGCCCCACATGCCCCAGAAAGGAGAGGATCACAGGAGCAACCACATAACGACTAAGAATAAGAGAAAGAAAAGGGACAAGAAGAGGGAAAAGGAGGATGGAGAAAGAGGCTTGTAGTAATGGGGAACATCAGGAAGTGGCGGGGGGAAGGGGGGGGGTCCATCAATCAATCACACAACACTGAAAACACCTAATCACATGATATATGGTCATCACCAACACTCACAAAATAAACAAAACAAACAAAAAAAAAACAAACCAACAAACGAACAAACAAACACAAAGCCACCGGGACGCACACACGGGCTCAGGCCGGCTCACGAGACCGCCCGCACACTGAGGCACCACTATGAGAGGAAGAGCTGTGAAAGGGTTAAAGATGCTTACTCTATTCCCCACCCTGTGCCTCCAAAAATCACCCCCAGGGCCAGAATGGTCCCTGCTACTGCCCCTATCAGCCTGTTAGTGGCCACGCTCACTGTGCAGAAGGAAAAGGAGCATTATTACCACCCTGTCAAAAACAAACAGCAGGCTTCTGCTTCAGAGTCATGGACAAAGTGTCGTGGTTCCCTCTGTGACACTTCCCACCCCACCATCGCCCCTGTAGGAAAACCATCAGGTGTACAGCTGAACTGTGTGTTCATTTCATCTTCTCAATCAAACTAAACAAATGCAACACAGCTGTAATATCCACCTTCAGTCGCCATCTTACAAGGAGAATGGCACTGCAGTACTGCAGAACAAAATATACAGCATATACTCCTATGCCAGTGTGAAGCTGGGCTAAATTAAATGATGCCAGAGGTAGAAACCGACCCTTGGGTCCTTCATCCTGAGTGGGTGGCTCTTTAGGTGGGTCAGGCATGCTACAGTCTGTCCCTGCCCACGTGGTGTCACAGGTGCATGTGGCTTCATTGTTGCACACCTGCACAGATCAGACAGACATAGATGAGGGGACAAAGGTAACGTAAGAGCTTTAAATAAATGTTGACACACTGTGGGAATTTTTGGAAACTGTGCCCATTGGCAAAAATGTCAGCAGTGAGAAATGACAAACTGTAGCAAGTTATGAGCAAATCAGACGGGCTAGATATAAGTTTGAGGTCTGATAAACATCCACTGAGAACAGACTGACCACATTTATATTGATGTTTGATTAAAGAAGAGACTTACTAATCATCTTTTTGTACAGGCAACACAAAAGATATACAGTCTGGTCAAAAGTACAGATGATGCCTCTCCCCACTAAATGCTACGGAGCCTCATCAGACCACAGGGACTGAAGTGTACATTGTGGGTCAGTGTACACCGTTGACTCACCCCATGTGCAGAGCACACCTGTCCATTAGGTCCACTGGGGCAGGTACTCGTATTGAGTGACTGAATGGGCAGACACTTGCGGTCAAGGCACATCATTGACGGCCCACAGGGAGTTCCATCCTCCACGTAGCCTAAATCAGTTTCATCATCTAAAAGGACATGGCCACCACTGTGAGGAGAGGATGGAGGGAAGGAAAGGGGGACGAAGAGTAGGACAAGAGAAGAGGTCAAGGTGAGAAGGAGAGAATAAAATCTCATACAAGGGTGAATGAAACAAAAGTGACAAAAACAGGAGCACTGACTCCAGTTAATAATAATATAGTAGACCTGTTTACCTGCAGTCTACCAGCCTGCCTTGATGGTTGAAAGTGGTGGGGGTAATATCTCCTTTCATCATTCCAATGCGTGGGCCGCGACCAATGTTGGCACACAAAAGGTAACCACAGAATACATCGCTGTCAAAGACACACAAAAACATGTGAGATGCCTTTGTTCCATTTAATATCCATTTAGAGCTGCTTCCCATCTTTTTACAGGAAGTCCTTTAAATTATCAACATGACTGCTTTAATTTAGTCCAGTTCAGTTACTTACCCATTTATTTCATTTTGATTAGTTCATTTTAGCTGATTTCTTTCTCAGTAAAGCATGTTCTGCTTTTGAATGCACTCTATCAATAAATCAACTTGCTTTATTCATAGTAAGCCACTAAAAAAGTTTTCAGAAAAAACATTTTTGCCACATGAGCTAGGTGAACAACTTTCACTGGATTGAAAAGCCACCATCTTGGGGTCCAGGGTTCGAGTTTTTAAAATGCATTAACTGCTTTTATGAACAATGGGTCTCATTTGCCAACATCTTCTTAAATGTTCTCATGAATGTGCTCTTAATCCACAGAATTGTTCGCACCTGTGTTCTTACATTAAAGAACCCCATGTATTTGTAAGTTGAAAACTCGTGCCACTTGTTCCTAATTAGCATAGGTTAACGCCCCGCCAATACCCAGGAACCTCACACGATAAAGGAAAAAAGAAGCTGATAAAGCCTGGAATGCTACAATGAAAATCTAAAGACTGTGGTGCAACGAACTCCAAACTAAAGAAAAACCTGAGCAGTTCTGATGTGGAGAACAGCGAAGGAGCTGCCATATTTAGAAGCATCAGTAGTGCATATATAATACAACAAAAAAGATGCATGAGATGCTCTTACTCATACAGCGAATACTGTATAAGGAGAAGAGCGCACCGTTGTGGATTAAAAGATGGTTTGATCTCAAATCTGAGGCAACCAAACAAACAAAGAAGCTGACTAGTGGAGGAGGACAGGCTGACCAGAGTTATCTGAGCTGAACCAGCACACGGAGGCCATGCACAGCTCACTCGGGTGTGCGTCAGCTGAGCAGACCCCCCTGTGTACACCCAGGTCCCTTCAACTGCCCTGAGTCTGAGCTCAGATGCGAAGCTGGACAACAAGACGCCTACACGCTGGCCAAAATGTCTGAGAGACACTTAAAGAAATGAAAAGTAACTAGAAATAAAGACATTCGCTTAAATGTGTTGGCTTTTAATTGTGTTTGCTCATTTTAAGCTACAAAAAAAAAAAAAAAAAATCACACTGTAAAAGTTAAAATAAATTTTAAAACCTTGATTTGTAAACAAGCAAATAATAGCATGTTGTCATTTTTAGTGTAGTGTTTCTTGATTTTAAAAGACCATAATGCTTTAAAAATTAATGAGAAAATATTAAAGAAATACTAATAATGACAAAACTGTTCCTGAAATTTAAATATTATAATATTATATAACCATAGAGCTGTAGAAAACTAAATAACCTGTTTTTCACATCAGAACTCAAATGTACATAAGTGTGCTCCTAAATGTGCGTAGATTCTGGTCTCATCTAAGAATAAACCCCAGATGAGAAAACATTAGTGAATGCCAAAAACTTCGTAAGTGGGTTTTAAGAAGAAATTCGTTCTTAAGAACGGTTGGTCAATGAGGCCCATTGTTCTTGATGAACCCTATGCTGCCCTCTACTGGTTGGATATAAGCTAAACTGAAACCTCTCCCCTGTCAGTAAAAAAAAAAAAAAATCACAAGGACCAAGCCTAGACTCTATACAGAAACAGAAAGATAAAGAGCAATATAAAGAAGAAATACCATAGTTAATCTATTTTAAACTCACTGTTTGCTACACTGGATCCATCTGTCACCATCTTTTCCACAGTTGCCCTTCTCTGTGCCCTCTGTGTTCAGTTTCTCATAGCAGAACTTCTCTGAGCTGGCAGCCTCTGAAAAACAGCATAGACTTTAAGTAGCCAGAAGTTCTACAAGTGGCTGCAAAAATGTCTGACCTACAGTTCTGATTCAAAACAACACACATCAGATTTCATACTCAATTTCTTGATTACTTTCATTTCATTTCAATGATTTGTATAATTGAATAAAAACCCAATGTAACATTCTAGTTTTATCTCAACCCCCCCAAAACCCTAGCCCCATGTATGATATTCTGACATTAATAAAAGCTAATGTGAACAGATGAAATAATCATCTTACTTGGCCCCCAGATGTATTTACACTGGCTTTCTCTGGTCTTGCACTCTCCATTGTAGCAGCGACCCTTCAGACAATTAGAGAAAGAGAAAAAAGAGAATAAATACATTTTCCAGCTGCTGCTCACAAACTGCTATTCTGGTGTATCCTTGCTCTTGTTTGGAGAAATGAAAAGCTCTCCAGTGTTATCAGTCTGTGTACCTGGTTAACCTGGCAGAGGTAACCATCTTGTTTATGAAGGTTGGGAGGGCACTGCAAAAAAGGACAAACACACACCTTCGTAATCTTGCACGTTAGCTTAAACATGCAAAGATTGACAGAGATGAACCATTTAAAACAAAGAATGTGTCGGTGCCCCATTAGAACACCTGTCCAGAGTCCCCAGAGCAGGTCTCTGAGATATCACAGTCATTCACAGCATAGCGGCAACCGTAACCTCGAGGATAGAACTGGTGAGACAAGGAGAGAAGTGAAGTCTAAATTACAGTTTTAGAAATTTATATTTTCTGCAGAACCTGGAAAAAAAAAGACCAAGCTCATACCAGGCATGTGATATTGCAGCATGGGCCGTCACTGCAGTGCGCCCCATTGGCGAGGGAGCACTTCTTGCAGCACTCCTTATAGCACTCCTGTAAATAAATTAGGATAAAGCTTCATCCATCTGCACAAAGAGGACGACAAATAGATGTCACTCAATGAAGTAACAAGAAAACTCACAGCTCTTGCTCCACAGTCACACTCCTCTCCCACTTCTACAAATCCATTTCCACATTCTGTGGCCTGGAACAGCTGCCAAAAGAACACAAGAGCGTGTAAAAATACGGAAAATGTATGATTTATGACAGCTGTGCAGAAAGGGACAAAGCGGTGAGCGTCTAACCTTGGTTGGCCTGTTAAATAGACATGAGCCTCCACCTTTCAAGAGGAACTCCTTGTAATCTGAAATGCTGCATTTGGAGAATCTCCGTGGGTGTTGGACCCTGGGGAGAGAGAAAAACCAGGTGATAATTAACCAGAGTTGAATGCATGGTTGAAAAGGCTGTGGGTGGCACTGTTTTAATGGCAATTACAGCCACAGTGTCAGAGCACAACGCATAGTTTCCTTCACTCTGGTATGAAAGCTGAGAGATACACAGTCTGGTTTTCACTTCTATAGTTTCTCACTACTGTTACTGCCATCTATCAGTGTTTCTTAGTCAGTATATGCTCACAAATATTCCTGTTTAATGAGAATACAAGATCAAACCACTGATCAGGCTGCATTAAAGTTATGCTGAATTACTGTGAATTCCCATAAATACTCACATTAAAGCTGACAAAATAATGGCCAGGTCTAAGAAGCATAGACAAATAAAGGAAAGCTGCTTATTTAAAAAAACAAACTGAGCAGAGGTGGAGTTACCAGGAGCTTGCGTCCACAGCTCACACGGTAAATTCAGTATAATTTACATTTCCGTGGAATGTTTTTTCACAGTAAAATGTTAATGTCTAATTATAATGTTTACCCAATTATAAAGGGAAGGCAGCAGGACTTTAAAGGTGCAGTGTGTAACATTTAGCAGGATTTATTAGCAGAAACAGGCTACAGTTTGCATAATTATGTTTTCATTAATGTGTAACCACCAGAAAATAATAATTATTGCATTTTCTTTAGCTTAGAATGAGCCTTTTATATCTACATAGGAGCGGGGTCCCCGAGCATGGAGGCCAACAGGTTGAGCTGCCATGTTTTTTTATAGTAGCCCAGAACGGACAAACCACACACTGGCTCTAGAGCATGAATTTTGCCTTTTCACGCTGAAATAGTAGCTCTGATTTGGAGACGCTTGGAAGAAGAAGAAGAAGTCATCTTAGAAACAAGAGGAAGCATTGTTGTGAGTTTAAGAACTGTAATTTGAAGAAATGGAGGATCATAGCTATACTTTTACACAAGAAAAAGCAAGACCATGAATCCCCGTTGTCAAAGAAGCAAATGCACGAAGAAACAAGATATGGCACAAGATGAGGATAAACACTGGTGACGCCTTTACCAGCTGGAAATCCTTGATGAAGGACAAATGTTTCCAGAATGACAATGAAGTTGCCTGTTTTCTGCTGGACAGGTCATTTATCTTAACAAGAAAAGTGAACCTAAATGCAAGTTTTTGTTTGACAGCTTTAGGCCGTGCTGGATAACTCACTACACTCAAGTGAAGTCAGGTCAAGTCAGCCGCATTTGTTTTTCAAGTGTGCAATTTGTCCTACATTTACGGTAATAGTTGTGAAACGGCTGTATGAGAGCTTTGCTGAACATTGCAGTTTGCAACCTCACCACCACACATTGCACCTTCGAGTTTTAAAATTATAGAGGAAGTGTCTTATTCACAGCTTTGTAGCTGATAGTAAATGCAATTAATAGAATTTATTAGCAGGTAAACAGAAGAGGGTTTGAGTTTTAACTGGGGAACAAGGAAAGTTTGATGAAAAAACACCAATATATATGAGTGAGAGAGAGAGAGAGAGAGAGACATATGTAAGCAATATACAAGTGTGTCCTGGTTCTTTCTGCTGCTGAGGTAAATAAAGGCCCCGGCCACAGTTTTATAGTTTATATTCCACATCTGAAATCAATAATGCACGTATCTGCTTTTCATCTCTATAGTGGCTGAAAATGACAATGACAAAAAAAGTTGCCTTCCTGTACTGGAAGTGTGAATACTCTGAGTATATATTAATGCATCAGATGTAGGCTGGATATTACCCAGTGTCCTCCATTATACAGCCAGTCCATGAGTCAGCACACCCACATTCCTCTGCAAATAGGAGAGAAAACAGGAAAAAAACACAGATAAATAGTGCACAGAAAACCGTATTTAAAGATAAGTAAAGTATTTGAATAATATATATCAACATGAGTGATTTACATTTTATCATCCTCGAGATTCTACGTTAAAGGCGGATTTAGCACCTGAGTTTCACAGCTTCCTTCCCTGTCATCTTTACTGACATAATCACACTCGCTTGTCCAGTTCTGGGACCATAAGTAGGATTTCTCTGATGCTTAGCACTTTGATCTTGTGACCTTCTAACATGGCAGCTGTTTGATGACTCTGCCGCAATAAGCTCCCTGATCTTAAAAGCGATGGAATAAATGCTGACTCGACCGAGGCTGCTTTTGAACCACATTTTCAGAGACAGTTACTGGACCTCTCCATCTGTCACTCCTGGCCCTGGAGTTATCAGGAAACAGTTTGCTCCAATCAAAAGGCATCTTTATGTTTAATATACACCATCTGCTCTTTTAAATGACATAAATCATTTAGATGTCTAGACCTCAAATGAAAGACAACCTCTCTTTTTCAAATGTAATTTACAGAATAATGCATCTTATATTCAGGCCATTAAACTGTTTCTATCTATTCTATAAGTGTTTTCTATTTGTATTTCTATCTGTATGGCCCAGTATCACTGGGCCTGAGTGAAAATCATGTTTTTTAAAATGTGAGTGACAGGAATTTTGAGATTTCAGCTCTTAACAACCAGCCTTATATAGAGCAGCTCACTTATACTAGCTGTGAGATTGTGTCATGTGTTTGATGTATACTTCTCTTAGACGCCGGGTCCCACTGGATGCCCAGATTCTGTGCCAGGCTCTGGGACAGAGACCCTGCCATGGTCCCGGTGGTGCCATACTGAGGACACAACAGAGACCAGAGATTAGTCTCCTGGAGTCACACTCTGTGACATGAGATGCTGGACAGCAAATCTAACCTCATTGACCCCTACTCCACGGCTTATGGAACACATGCCCCCAAAGTATGCTGCACTGCTTCGGCGGTAGTGGAAGGTCACATTTCTATGAGAATAATGAAAGACAAGGAGACAGACATTAACAACAGTGACCAATAAAAAAGTAAAAAAGTGAGTCCACCTCAATATTTAAGGTAAATATTCACTCATACAGACACAATACTGTTTCTTGTGCAGTTAGCTGCAGTTGCAAGTCACATGCATGGTGAGTACAGATGTAATGAGACCGCCATGAATGTACAAAGACATACTGAGAGAATATTATGTGAACAAGATCAAAGCATGGATCAGGCTACATAGAAATGGTGTCAAACTAAGATCTTGGTATTGACCATGCCTGTATTTTCATATCAGAGAAAAATAAATACAACAGAAACCCTCCCAAAGTCTGTTAACCTCAGCTTGTTTTTTGCACATTTGAAATTAGCACATAAAAAAAAAAATCTAAAGCAACACTGGAAATTTAATAAATACGGCAGATAAAGCTGCATGAAAGGATAACAGAATCTGTTCAGATATGGCACTTACGAGAAGAGGTGAACGGCATCGGCGTGGTGCTTGATGCTCTGCTGCCGGTACTTGGAGAAATCTCGCAGCATTTCCAGTGGCCTCACGCTAATGGGGATCTGATCCTTGTCTGTCCATATCTCCACAGCAACGAGCACCACACGTGTATGTAGTTGCTCTTTGAAGATCTGCCATTGATGTGTGCAGAAATAAAGAAAGCAACAGCACAGGGAGAGGTCAACAACACTGGGTGTGAGTCTGAATCTAATCTGTGTGAGGACAGATGGGGGAGTGCAGCACACTGGGAGCAGGGAGGAACAAGGGGTGTGTTAATGCAGGTGATGAGCACACTTAGATAACATCAGCACAAGGACTAACAATGAGGCAACTATGAGATTTACTCCATTATAGCGCATGAGAAGGTGTTGTTGTACCATACAGAGTAATATATCAAACAGTGCACACTTTAGGGATATATTCTGCAGCTACATTGTATCAAAGGCTCTAGGTTGTACTGTATGTACTTATGCAGCAAATAGGATGCCTCATCACGTACTATATTTAGCCATCAAACTACACCAAAGAAGATGTTAAGAGTCTACAGCCATGGTAGCAGCTCTGTGACTTCTGTCAGAAAGCCACAGATCAGTGGTTTGAGCTAAATGCTAACATACTCATCATAACAATTAGAACATGACAAGGTTTAGCAGGTGCTGTGGAACCATGCTAAACATCCGAGCTTTGTTCTGTCACTTGTCTTTTGTAAGTGGGGTCTGTAGTCGACACCACACAAAACACTGTCACTGTGAACCATCCACGTTATAAATGTGTTGCTGGACAAAATGCACAAACACTCATGGGTGGAAACCCGGTGCACTGGAGTGCACATCGTGTTTGGTGCACTGTCTGTATAAATGAAGGACAGATAGGAACAGCTACTTATTCATCCTTTTCACAAAACATGCTCAAGTGCAAGCACATTTGGATCCAAACAGGATAGACTACTACCTACTGAGTTGTTTATTTTTAAAGAGCTGATGGCCTTAACCTTAAGAGATTCGGTCCAAACCTATAATGTATATCAATATATCCCTGTAGAGTAGCCCTTCATGTACTGGCCTCAGTCCAAGTGCAATAACTGTGGATATCTGCCAAATATTAAATCCAGTTCGATAGTTATTTAACTGCAGTACATGTTGATTAAACGTGTATCTGACACATCGAAATAACAGCTAGAAGTGATCTTACTTAATCTGACACATCACATTTTTCAACTCAAGCTACTTGATCCAAATACCAGAGGTCCTCTTTCAACAATATGCGTATAACATTTAAAAGCTTAAATTATTGATATGATATGAATGAAAGAATAACTGGGAGAATGTGAGATCACAAGGTGGGATCCAATGCTTAGCCTATTAATTCAATTCAATTTAACTTGTATAGCGCCAAATCACAACAAAAGTCATCTCAGGACACACATACGCACACACACACTGCCCCCCCACCCGTCCACAATATTCACCACTGACTTGGCAAAATTCCTCATGTACGGCTTGGTCTTGTGTCGTTTAAACTGCAGGCACAAAGAAAAATAACAAAAGAGGATTTTCTGATACATGAGTAATATGATACTATCAGTTATACTATATTTGTTAAGCTACATTTGTACAGTAGGAAAAGATGAAAGAAAGTTAAAGCAGGCACATACCAAACTGTGGTCACTGACAATCATGATTTCTAAATACTTCATCTCCTCAAATATACTCCGAGGCATCTGCAAATCAAAACCAGAAACAAAAATAATTCAAAGGTTGGGTGAACTGAAGGTTGCCGCATTACTTCAGAAAAAAACTTACAGCTCGCTTTTTCCTGCGCTTCAGCCAGGACAAGTCATCAAGCTCTGAGAAGAGCTGCTCCTCCTCCACTGTGAACACACACACACACACACACACACACACACACACACACACAAAAAAACAGAGACACTTAAACACTCATATACTGAGACAGCTGGGATGGTTTGCTTGATGAGTTAAAGCCCACAGAGACGTGTTAATTTACTCAAAAATTCCAAAATTGTTTTCCTGAATTTCCCAGTGTGTTAAATCAGGTGTGATGCGATACACTAGATTATAAAATGTTCATTTGTAGCAGCCATTGAAATTGGGCTTTCTTGACCAGTTCAAATTTTTAAAAAATCCTTCCATACTTGCATGTTGTGTGTTGAACGTACACAAGGATAAATGGGAAGTGAGGTGATGGTCAGAGGTGAAGGACTGAAGCTTATGTAATATGATGGACAATAATGAAGGAAAACCTCACCTTGTTCCTCTGAATCGTTGTCCCAGTGAAAGGAAGTGGTTCTTCTTAGTTTGTGAGGCCTCGGAGCTGTATCCTGTAGAAATAAAGCAAACAAGTGTGAAAAGACGAGCTGGGACAGGCAGGTGAGCCACAGTGTTTACTATGGAAACCGGTCAGCAGGATTAAGTGGGGACTGAATGTAACAACATAACTACTTAATCATTTTTAAAAACTATGAAAAACACAAACCTTACATAACCACTTGTCTAATATAGCGGGATTAGACTGGAATGAGCACGATTAGTATACAGATAAGTTTAGACTGCTTAAATATACAATCTTTGTTTTGCTGTATCAGGGTATTAAATCATAACACAAAACAAAACCAACTAGACAGCACCGAGAGACTGCAAAACTCCACCGAGGCAGCTCAGTTTACCCTAATGACATTACACCTAGAAGCAATGTTCCCATGATAGTTTAACCATCATAATATGAGCTGTGTGTTTGTCTGTTTGACCGAGTACAGGACTTATTTACACAAGGTCCAGGGCATTCACATAAAATCCTTCCCACAGAGTTGTGTGTCGGTGCGGGTGTGGTCCATGGATTGCAGACTGAAATGCGGTGCTCATCCACTTGAATGAAAGTTGCTCTTCTGAGTTTGCTTCAGCGTTTTTTGGCCCACTGCACATGTGCATTCATGTAAAACCTCCATGGATTAAAAATTCATAATACAAAGAGCGATAACTGAGCTTGTTTAAACTGTCAACAGTTTTACAGACATCTCTTTTTATCATTGTTGTCTATGGAGAAAATGCTTTTTGAGCCCCAAAAAGGATTTTGATCCTTTTTTGTCCAAAAGGAATTTTTTTGTTGCAGTACTGCCAGTGGCCACTGGGAAAAACTGGCTTACTGGCTAAGTGGTGGTGATGAATCCAGGTTTCAATTATACATTCATGGTGTGGCCGTGTTCATTTATGCTTCAGAACATAATCGCTGTGAAACAAACACATTCTTATTTCTGTGAATTACTGCTTGGTCTCGCTAGAGCTGCTCCCTCTCTTCATTGATGCACTAGCTCGCTTGACCACTGCTGCTCTTTTTCTCTTGGTGGAGTATATTTTTTATAGAGACAGTAATATTTGAGCACAAAGATAATAAAAAAAAAACAGCTGTTCTAACCAAGAAACCACTGAACAGAACATACTATAACTAGAAAATTAACTGGTCTGTGCTGCAGTTGTATCGAGTGTGCAGTGTTAGTTGCCTTGATAGGAGGATTTTTTTTTTACCTCCAGGGCTCTGTGCCTGTCACATGACATGGCCCTATCTCACAATACTGATGAGTCCTTAAAAGACTCCTGGATCTGGATTAAGATCCAGATCACCAGCAAAGTCTAATGGATTGTTCTGTGGGCTATACCCTATCTCTCCAACAAAATTCATCAAAACCCATTAATTACTTTTTGAGCTACATAAGCTACTGTACTAAACTACATGCTGGTCAGACATTTTGTTGTCTCACATTAACTCCTTCCTTTAAAATCAGGAATGTCCTTAGAGTGATTAAGATATGAGCCCAAAGTGTCGTGGAGTTCAATAAGGAGCAGTGGAAAAACATATGTATGATGCATATTTTGGTTCTCGGCAACAGGAATGACTTACAATTGAATGAGTCTGTTGTAAGGGCTCAATTAGATACACATAGGCTCCATCATCAAACATCCCGCTGCCAGGCAGAGAAAGAAGAAAAAGGAGAGAAGCCAGATGATGCTGAGTCAATAGGAGCTGAGGAGCAGAGATGAATGTGTATCTGCTGATATTCTGAACACGGCGAGGATTACACACAGCTCTGCTGTTCACTTACTGCAGCCCGTTGCAGGTAGATAAGGCCACGTGGGAGTTGTCGTTCCCTCTCACCTCACCGTGGTAGTAACAGTGCTCACCGCCCTGAAGAAAGAAGACAGTGCTAATGCTGCATCACAGCGAACCGTGGCCATAAACAAAGCAGCCTCACTAGCAACACACAGAACTACACATACACTGACAGATCTCTCAGATTTGCCATTACACGTGAATGTGTCAGGTTCAAACTTAATTATCGTGTGTTGTGATTTTTCTTGTTTTCTAGAATGTAACAGCTTGTCTCACCGGTCTGTGTTTGGATATATGCAGTGCATTTCCTCAAGGGGATAAATCTATGCTTGTTAAAATGTGAAGTTAACACAATGCAAGGTGGGACTTGGCACTGTGTCTTAGCTGTCAGACCCAGGGTGAGCAGAGGACACCCCCCCAACACACACACACCCATCCCACCCTACGCTGATACTGCAGAGTGCTTTCTCTCCCACGTCACATGACCAGAGCTCCAGCAGGAGGCTGCAGGGGAGCAAAACCCTGCTGATTCAGCTATAGTATACCCAGCCCAACCCTCTGCCTGAATCAGCAGCAGCAGGAACCAGCTTTAATTCCCAACCTGCTTCCTTTCCTCCCTCTTTCTACATCCTCTTCCCTTCTGTGCTATGCAAATCCTATAGCTTCCTGTCTTCCTCCTCTTTTCAATACAATAGCCTGAAAAGAAGATTTCCTGCAGTTTTTTTTTTTTGGATGACACTTGACAGTTGCAGTGTTGGTTTAATTAGCAATTTGCACATGGTTTGACAGTAAACTGACCTGACATGCAAACTGACTGGCATTAATCTCTTCCTGTCCTTTGTGCCTACTTCCGCAAGTTGAGACAAAGCCTATTTGTGATTTTTTTTTTACCAACAATGCGCATGACTGTACAAAACAAACACATCATGACACATTGTTCCAGCTCAAAGAAACAAAACCAGCTTCTACCAAAATAAGAAAGATGTGCATTTTAACATTTCAGTCACAACTACAGATGGCGTTACCTTTGATAGAACAGGCTTGCCCCCTTCATAGTGGATCTCAACATAATCTGAAGACAGCAAGTCACTGAAAAAAACAGACTTCAGTTGGTTGGGGTGAAAGGATGTGATATAGTGACAATAAAACACACAACAGTCTGTATGCCTTGTCATTCTCTGACTCACATTGTGGTTTTAAAGTAGCGATGAGTGCTGCTTTGGTTGGCATTTAAACAAGAACACTCATCGCTACTGTGTCTGGATCATCTTGCAAAGCACTCCCGTGGCATCGCAGAAGTGCACCGCAAATGTTTAATGTCACCTGCCCTCAGAAAAAATTATGATGCATTTACTACTTGGGATAATTAACTATGGCTGCAAGAGGCTGCGCAAACAAATCTGCATTTGATAAAATTAAAAATCTGTAATAAAATGCCACACAGAAACCTGAGCACAGTTATTCACTGATTCAACAAAGTGGCCTTAAAACATGTAAAACTACACTTTACATGTCTGTTTCTTCATCAAACTTCCCCGAAATAAATCACCGTTAAGAAACGGCATGCATAACAGGAACAGAAACAGGTAACCGAAAGCTGCCAACGAGGAGCATTGTGACATATAATTGTGAGGCCTATGCTTCACCTTGAACTCAGCAGTGCTCCCGGCAGTTCCCGCTGTCTGAGTCAGCTTCCCTCATCATTACACACATTGATTCTGTTAGCTGACAGCTGATTTCAAAAGGCTGCAATTTCTGCCATAATGGCAACTTTTTTTTCTGAGAAACCTTGCAAATCAAAAACATCCTCCTCCTCGTGGACGTGTACTGGTCGTCGAAATAGAAGGAAAAAGAAACATGGAAGTGATGAATCTCTCTTGCGACACTTTTGAGTGATGCTCAGCAGCATGTGAGCAGGAAGTGCACCATTATGAGGAGAGCTGAGGCATGAGCGACATCTGCGAGTGAGCCCCCTGAGTGAGGGGTTCTATTTTTAGCTTGACAGATGAGGCAGGGAGAGGAGAGCTGGCCACACCAGAGTGTACTAGTGTGTGTAGGCAACACTGAAGTGTTGGGGAGTAAACCACTGGAGTGTCTTGAGGTGTGTGAATGTGTTCCAATGTCTGTACCAGAGCAGTGAAAGTATGTGGAGACCATGAAACGGGAGTCCTGCCCTGAGGTCACTCAGTCCACAATGCATGCTACAATGCAGCAGCAGCAGCAGCAGCAGCAGCAGCAGAGGTGAGGCAGAGAGGGAGGACCCCAAAAAAACTGCTTTTTAAACCTCTAGCACAAAGAAATAGCCTGCTTGGAGTCTAAATAACTGAAGCCACTCCAAGGAAGGGTCAACAGCACTAAAGCTTTTTATGGCAAGACAATTGAGAAAAAACAGGGCGGTACCAATCCCATTAACAGTAAACTACTTAAAGAGGAACCAGTTTCTTCCAATATCCGATTTATATTAACTAAAAACCAATGTCATAAAAACTACTTCCTGGGTTTGTAATTCAGGTACACTAAGAGGTGAGGAGACAAAGTAGCACCCGTTAGCAGGTTGCAGACCTATCTATATTTAGTACTGTCGCAGCTACAGCGCCAAGCAGAATTCAAACCCCTGTTCTCACACAAAAAGGCACATGCTGATGTTCTCATGTATCTCACAGATAAGCTACAGTTGAAGCAAGCAGCTGAGAATCAAGGTCACACACACACAAGCCTCTTTACTGTTGTGAAGAGCTGATGTATTACGTACTGACTCCTCAGCGTCTGACAACATACAAGATAACATTTGCTGAAGATGTTATATTGCAGCGTGTGACAGTTGTCGGTGAGACAGTGAGAAACAGGACAAAAACACTGTGTCCAATCTTTCCTGTATCTGTCTCTATGCTATGTGCATTTCTACAAAGAATACATTTACAGATAATAATACAGACAGTGACATCCCCATTGGCCTTCCTGATATATGCATACCAACCCTTCACTAAACATTTTACGATGTTTCTAACACTATCAGACGTGTGCTCGCCAAACAACATCAAGGCTAATAGCAAACTGAACATTCCATCTCTTCTACATTTTCTAAACTTGTATAATAAAACAAATACTCTTTGCTGCAGATAGCACTTTGTTAGCCTCTACACTGGCACCGAAATAATGATTTAAACTAGCATGGAATGGCAGTGGTTTTGTAATATTAAAATAAGCTCACACTAAACTATGACACCTCCTCTGTGATGGCTCTGGCTTGAAAACTTTAATGGCACTGTTAGTCAGCAAAGTGGCAGGCTGCTAACCAGCACAGCATACCAGCACACAGACTGAATAACCAAGAACACAAGTTTGCCTAAACGTCTAACACCACTCAGACATGCAGACAAAGTACAGTATTTTAGTACAGAATCCAGCTGTGAATCCCATTAAAGAACCTGAAATCCAACCAGCAATTCTAAGCCTTCATATGTCGACCAGCTACTTAGTAAGGAGAGTAAATCAATATCATCGAATGTCTGGACCAGAACCTTATGTCTCTGAATTGGACAGTGATCAAAAACTGCAGCACGATTACTTCTACCCATTTTTAAAGAAGCCAATTATGTGTCATTAAACAATTCAGATTTCCAAAACCATTCTGTTAAAATAGTGTGTGTATGTCTGTAATCTGGCAGCTGAACTAAGACTGGTTTTAGCATTTGGAGGATTCTGAAATCCATGACTGGCCTATTCAACTACAGGTTTCCAGATGACATTATCTTTGACTGCTGCTGGATTAATCACTAATCAGACATATAATACAGATCATTTATAAACAACAGTCACCTACAACAGGGAATCCCAAATGTTATGTTGATTTCAACTATGACACACACGTGACTTTATGTGCTCTTTTCATAGTTTTTGTTAAATTCAGCACTGCTCTACTATGTGCTGTTTTTGTTAAATTCAGCACTGCTCTACTTCTGTTTCATGTCTGATGCACATGCTTACACACACATTAGTGTCCCATTTTTGAATCTTATGCTTTTACAGAAGAGGACAGGGCCACTATACAAAATTTACTTGAGTTCTTTACTTTTTTCTCAGAATTCTGATTTCAATCTCAGAATTCCTAAGGGCACAGCACACAGGCGGCGTGACATGACTCCCATAACACACACTAGGAGTGGTGTGAATTCAGTGTGGGACCAAAATGGGCGAGTGTTTCAGTATATTATGCTTTTGATGCACGTCAGTGCCGGTAAAATGGGACTATAATGTATTCTGAAGCGCCAATTTCCAGCCGGTGTGTGGACTTTCAATGAAAATAATTGGTGCTGGTGTTTTGACGTGCATCACATGTTACCTATGTGCGGTACCCTTGACTTTTTTTCTCAGACTTCTGAAATTAAAGTTAGGATTCTGAGACAAAGGTCAAACTTAAATTTTGTGCAGTGCCCCCTCTCTATATACTTATAATATTATCCAGGTCACGTCTCCACGCTCTAGACAGTCTACTGTTTCTGGACTGACATGGTACAAGTATTACCAGAATAAGACTTTTTTCACAATGGCCATACTTTTCTCCACAATAAAGTCTCATGATTTAAAAAAAAATTCTTTTATAATTGAACCTTTCCTGCACCACACACCTTTCAGAGTACACTTACTCTAAAAATTCAATAACAATGCATTACAGCTTTCCTTTGATGGATTCCTACAGTTTCTTGTAGAGTATGCTATAGTATTTTCTACAATAGTGGGTGTCAGCATGGATCTGTTGTGGCAGGTATATTTGGACAAGGTTTACTCAACATCTCTTTAACCGCAGGTTGAATAAAGATGCTGGTGTTCTGCTCTCGACCAGCTGCACATTATAATCAGCATGACCTTGACAGAGAGGCAGAGACAGAGAGGCATCTTGAGAGAGACATACAAATCACTCTCAGTGGAAGGAAAACCACAGTATAGCAGTTTGCTGTCACTGATGACCACAATGGCTGAGTTAATAGCTATAAAAACCAATTGTTTTTTAGGAGGACTTACGTGTTCAACGTTAGATCCAGAACAAATCTGGAGCCGAATGCCTCTAACTGGAAGCTGGCTTGGGCAAGGTGGACTGCCTATAAAGAAGTAAAGTGTAGTCACTGCAGATGATGGCAAATTTCAAAGTAGATGATAGATTGTGTCAGTCTGCAGAGCAAGAAATTATCCACCTTCAACATCCTCCACAGCACAGTGCACAAATAACAGATGTGGTGTATAAATGACAGGTGGTAATGTACAGTGAGTACACTGGGAAAAAAGCCTCCTTCAGCATGGTCACTCGTGTCTGTTAATGTGCTCTGTGTGCCTGTGTGTGCAGTTATCTATGCTTTATCTGACACTGTGCAGTTAAAATTGCATTACAAACAGGATTAAGATTCAACACAAGCCATAATAAGGGCTCACAACTTCAGAACCACACAGCAGATTCCTAAGTGATTAGACACTCGTGGTGTTTATCACAACAGTATTCCTATTAAATAACTCACCATATCCCACTATCAATCTGCCCTCTCCGCCTGTCCTGTGTGCTGGCTTACCTGGTCCTCTGTGCCTTGGTTCTTGACCCGGGTGTCCAAGTCATGGTAGGTGCTCTCTGAATCCTCATTTAGGTAGAAGATCAATCGTGAAGGGTAGGTGATCACATGCTCCACTGCATGGTGTGTTGTGTTGTCTGTAACAGGTGCTGCAGTTGCCTGTTGCTTCAGCAGTGCTGGCACTGCGTCCCTCTCAACCTTGTCCTCTACTCCTTGTGAAACTGCAACACAATTCGCAATGCACAGACATGAAAAACACACTCATACACACTCAAAGAGCTAGCTGTCATCCTTTATTCATGAATCACATTGATAATACTGAGGCAAAAGGTCGTAGTTTCACTGCAATCTTTTACAACATACATCAGTAAGATTAGTTACAGGATGTACTATATATATGGTAGTTAAGCTGACTTAGAATACAGAATCTAAATGACTTCTTTTCATTTAAAGCTACTTTTGATGCTCTTTTTGCCAAAGTGAACAACTCTGCAGCAGAGACATAAATGCAGTTTTCATTATGCATTACCAATCCAAACAGCCTCAGTTAACAGCAGCAGATAATGTCATGCACTTGAGTAAAAGAGAGTCCTAGTGACTGTTAATCCAAATCTGGAAATCACACAAAATAAAGGGAACTGTTTTATAAGATGAACAAAAGATGCTGGTGTCTGTCCTCATCCACCATCACGTTGAAGACGCCGCATATTAAATATAACAATTCCCTATCTTTTTGGTGAGAGAAAAACGCCATGATGCCTACCTGCAGTAGTTGACATCGTCAGATATTATTTGTTCTGCTAAGTGCATAAAGTGAAAGGTGTATTTAATTAAATCAGAGTGATTTAAAAAAAAAACAGGAAGCTATTGCAATACGTACCGAATGAAGCTAGGGATGAACGAAGCCAGGGCGAATGGATGCTGAGGAGCAAAGTGGCCAGAAATATCAAATGCATGATTCATATTTGATAACTGAAATATCAATCAATATCAACAAAGCAACGCAGTGAATAACTCGCGGCCCATCGTGGCGCGGGAGGTGCCGTGCTTCAGGCTTTCTTCATGCATCCATGAGGCACCGGGATGCTGCTGCAGTCGCGGATGAGGTAGAGGAGGGGGGAGGTGGAGAGCAGAAAGAAGGCGGTGGCCAGGCTGCTACTCGAAGTCTACCAGCAGACTCCTCCTCGATGAGCACAAAGATGTCCTCCCTCCCACCTAGGGCCACAGGAAGCCCGTGCAGGTGATTTCAAAGGCACGGCAGTAAGATCACAGCAACTACAGGCAGGAAATGAACAGTGATCAGACACATTCAGTTTAATTGCTTCAGAATAACACACTGCGATATTTGAAATTTTGTACAAAGAGCTGCATTTGCTCAGGTGTTTCAGAACTAGGCATATGCACAGATAGACCCCAGGTGGTGCACATGCCCTCTTACCCTGACCTGAGACTTGATAAGTGCCCTTTTTGCAGGACAGTTTTTTTTGTTCTGACTATTTTTAATTATATATTTTAGTTTTTAGACCATTTTCATTGTGGTTCATTGCATAAAATTTCAACTTAAAAGAATGCTGTAAGTATGGCTGACATCAGCAACTATTAAAGGCATGTTAGCTCCATAGCTCATAGCTGCATCAACAAGAAATAGTGCAAATATGGGATTCCTGCTTTGTTTATATGCCTGTTCATATACTGTGCCCAAACTGAATTCTACATTAAAATGTCCACCCACTGTAACAGTAAGGTAAGGTGCTAACCTATCTTTATCAATGTTATGTCCATGTTAACTGTTGTATGTGACAACACACTAAATTCTATTTTATTTGCACTTCCGCTTGGTAAAGAATACATTTGTAAACAAATAATTAACTAAGAAAATACTTAGCTGACAAAATGATAATAATAATAATCATGCTACAGCCCTAACAGTACAGTAGCCTTCAAAAATGGTGCTAATGGTCCTCACCAGTCTCTGGCTATCACCACCGCTGAGACAAGGCTGTCTGGCTGTCTGATGAAACAAGCAGGCATGAGTAAGCAGCAAGGTCCACATGACCGGTCTTTGTTAACTCACCTTGAAAAAAAAAAGGACATTGCTGTTGTTGCTATTAAATGTGACTAGTTTACTGTTATGTAATCTATACTACTGGGCCATGTATATTTATCTGACTCTTATAAGTGACCAGATTTATGAGGACAAAAATTACTGGAGTACTTCTATGTAGAGAGTCCAGCCTCTCTCGAGGAGTAAAGTTCCAGAGCCCAAGCTGTGCGTGGAGGCGAGCCCGACTATATCTAGCCGG